AGGTACCTGTGGAGGTGGGGATACCTGAGGTATCTGTGGAGGTGGGGGGTACCTGAGGTATCTGTGGAGGTGGGGGTATCTGAGGTATCTGTGGAGGTGGGGTAGCTGAGGCATCTATGGGGGTGGGATGTGGCTGAGGTATCTGTGGTGATGGTTCTGGGAGCTGAGGTGTCTGTGGGGTGGGGATGACATATGGCTGGCATGTTTGTGGTAATGTTTGAGAGTTAAGGTATTGCTAACCATGGAAGTGTTTGTTAGATGCTAGTAACTTTGGAACTGAAAGTGTTTCATAATGCTGGTGGCTGAGTTGTGGTTGGCCTTGGCTGTTTGTTGCTGGCCCCAGTCATTGAGGTATTTATGATGAGGTTAGTGACAAGTGCCATTCTGCTAACCACTGAGGTGTCTGTGATAACAGTGTGAGTGGCTGAGAAGGTCTCACCAAAGAACTGGCCAATTTTGGAGATCCCATGCAGAAAGCAATCTGCAGACTGGCATGGTTAGGCTTTAAGCTTGGAGGGACAGGGCAGTTCCTCCAGCCCAGATCCCTGGGTGATTGCAGGAGAGACATTACCCACCACCAGTGTTCCTGAGCCTCTCTTCAATGTGTGACCCCCCAACCCCCAGGAACTCCATGCAACAAATGTCCCAAGAACTGGCTCCACTTTCAACAGAAGTGCTACTATTTTGGCAAGGGCTCCAAGCAATGGATCCAGGCCAGGTTTGCCTGCAGTAACCTGGAAGGGCGGCTAGTCAGCATCCACAGCCAAAAGGAGCAGGTCTGTGGGCTCTAGAGACTGTGGGCAGCGGGGTGGCAGTGGGTGGGGGGAGTGGGGCGGATCCCACCCTGGCCTTCTGGAATGGATGGCAAGGACCATATCCACCTCCACCTAGGACTTCCTGACGCAACACATCAACAAGAGGGATTCCTGGATTGGCCTCCAGGATCTCAATGTGGAGGGAGAGTTCGTATGGGCCGATGGGAGCCCTGTGGGTTATAGGTAAGGGGAACTCTGGGAAACAAGTGAGGTAGGAGAAACACAGTCCGGGGCTCAGAGGAAGGACCCTATGGACTACAGATGGAGCAGAGTCCTAGACCGCCTTAGCTATAGGGAAAGGATAAAGGGCCTGAGGAAGCAAGCAGCAAGCACAGCTGGAAAGGTGGTTCTTGGGGAGCATGGGTGGAGGAAGTACAGAAAAGGAGGCGGCCTAGGTACAGATCCCCAAGGGTGGAACCTGTGCTACGGAAGGAGGCTAATGGGGGGGGAGGGTCTGCAGAGAAGGGACACCTCCCTAATCACATCCTATGACTGGAGGTGTTTCTTGTTCCAGCAACTGGAATCCGGGGGAGCCCAACAACGGGGGCCAGGGTGAAGACTGTGGGATGATGCGGGGATCCGGCCAGTGGAATGATGCCTTCTGCCGCAGCTACCTGGATGCCTGGGTGTGTGAGCAGCTGGCAACATGTGAGCTATCTGCCCCCGTAGCCTCTGTGAGTCCAACAGGACCCACCCCAAGAAACGAATCCTGACAAACTTCTGCCCACCCTCTTCCGGATTTCTCCTCTACCTTTACCATGGAAACAGCCAGGCCTTGAGGATACCCCTATCAAGGCCTGGGCCCCTCTCTGTGACTGAAGGCTATGATTCCCACCCATACTGAAACAGCTGGTGGGTGCCAGCTCCTGCCAGCTATCCAGAAAGCCTCCACTGCTCTCCAGCTAAGTTGACCATCCCATTTCGTCTGTCCTCCTCCAACCTGAGCCCCAGCCGTGCAAGCTCCCTGCCTACTGGCATGCACGTGGGCAATTGAGCCAACCAGGGAGCTGCTGAGAACCGAGATTTCAAAGGAGGCTTCCCTTTCTACCAAGTTTTCTACTTCTTTCTACTCTTCGTCAAAGAACAGAGGTTCCCTCTCCCCAGGGTCCGGAAGCGAGTCTTCCCATCAAGTTTGCATCAGTGAAGTTGAGGCTGGTCCCCAGCATTCCTGCCCTCCTTGGAGGCTGTCCCAGATGTGCTCCTGGTATGGGAGGTATTGAAGGGACTCTGGCCAGCTCCAACATGGCGAGCTTGGCTCTGGGAGGCCTTGCCCTTCTCTCTTATTCCCTCTGCCTTGCTCAAAGCTGTTAGATAACAGTCCTAAAACTAGCCCCGAAGGTCTATTCCCTTATGTGGCTACTCCCTCCTCCTGAGGCTGACTGCCAGGCTCCAGCTATCCAGGTATTGAAGTCCAGCAATCAAAAGCCGCCTTCGTTTCACCTAATCAACATGGCCAATCAAAATATGCCAATGCATCATAGCCCAGTCTAACACACCCATTTTTCTCTTCATAAAAATTACACCTGCAAGGTCATTAGCTGCTGTTTTTCTGCCTGAGTCAGAAAGCAGCCAATTAATTTTTCTTCCGTGCTTAATAAAGGATCTCTCTGTGAAAACAAGTGTTTGGGTGTGGTTTGTGTGTAATCCGGGGTCCAGGAGGGAACTCCCGCTGTGCTGGGGATAGAGGGATGCTCCTTTGGATATAAGCTGACAGTTTCAGAGACTTGGTACCTAAAGGTCTCTTTGAGAATGATGCACAACTAATATGGAATTTACACTTTCTATATCTTGGATATTTCTTTTCCTATATCCTTACAATAACATGCTAAGTAGGGGTGGGAGTGAGGCTCAGACATGTGGTCCCCAGCTGGGTACGTTGCTCCTTGCTTATAATCCAAGTCCACCTGGACGCCGTGACTTTAGGCCAGCCTGGACCATTCAGTGAGACCCAAATAAAGATGAGACGGCTGGCGATGACCTACGCTGAATCCCTGAGTCTCCTGAGTCTGTAGAGTGGAAGGAAAGAGCCAGGTCCCAAAAGTTGTCCTCTTTAGCTGTCTGCAGCCCCACACACTTACATAAACGCATGTTTAAGATGTTTAAGGTGGAGTGCAACCGAGGAAGACATCTCACATCAACCTCTGGCTCTACTTGCACACACAAAATAAACATGTTTATAAATAAGGTGGAAGGCTAGAGGCATGGCTCAGCAGTTAGTGACACACTGTTCTTCCTTAGGATGGGGGGTTGGGGGGAGTCAGACAGCAACACTCATACAGATGGCTCAGAGGCACCTGCAACAACTCTAAATCTGATACCCCCTTGTGGCCTCCAGTAACCTGCATTTAAGTTCACAAATGTACACACACATACACGCATAAAGTCTTAAAAATAATAATAATAGCCAAGGGTGGTGGTGGTCAACTTTAATCTCAGCACTAGGGAGGTAGACCTCTGAGTGTGAGGCCAGCCTAGTCTATACAGTGAGTTCCAGGTCAGCCAGGAAAACATAATTCAGACTGCTTAAAATAGTAAATGTAATGAGCCATTAAATACTCAACCTCCTGTCGAGTCAGAAGGGCTGGGAATTCAGTCAGCCTTAATATACAGCAAGGCTGAAGCCAGCCTGTGTGGACGGAAACCTGTCTCAGGATAAAGTTTTAATATTAACCTTAAAACCCTCCTAAGTTTCCCGATGGTTCTGAGCTCTTCTCCCTTTGAGAGGCTAGTGTGCCACTATTCTCAATGTGATCCCTGGGGCACCCAGCAGCTCTCCAGAATATACCAGAAACAAATTCTTAAGCACACCCCAAAACTGCAGAATCTGACTGTAGGGGTAAAACCTACGGTTTTGTTGTCTTGAAACCACCTGAGTTTTTAAGTCCTTCAGGTGACTTCGATGCCCTGAAGCACTGTTTCTCAAAATAAGAGTCCCAGGGAGACCTCTGAGAAAGGGGCTGGAATGCAAACTTGTGGTCCAGTAAGTCTAGGGGTGGGCCAGTGATCCTGCAGGTGGGTCAATGATGCTTACTCTGATACGGATGCTGGTGCTGACGCTGACAGTCCTCAAGCCACTTGAGTAGCCAATGTCCACTCTCCAGTTATTGTTTAGACACACAGCCACACCCTCCCCTTTGTTATCTGACTTTTAGGTTTTTTAGAACAAATGGAGATTTGAGGAAAATTGAGTTTCAAGAGAAGTGTACCCCTGCCTCACATTTGTTTAAAAGAGTCCTGTGCTGCCAGATCTGGTCTCAGACTTGCTAAGTAGCAGAGGATGGCCTTCAACTTATGATCTTTCTCCCTCTACCTTCCTAGTGCTGGGATGAGACAATTTGCACCCATTTTATGTGGCATATGGAATCAAACCCTGGGCACTCTACAAACTGGGCTACAGCACTGGCAGTTTGCTGGTCCCTCTTAACCTCGTATCCCTACCCCCACCTCTCCAGATTGCAGGCTCCAACAACAATTCCACAGGTGCCCTATCTCCCCAGTACATCCAAGCCTCCAACCTTAGCTGAAAGCCAGAAGCCAAGTGAGCCCATTGTCCACTTTCTTACTCTTCACTTATGCCTGACAAGCTTGCCTTCGGTCTCCCTCAGTCTGGGACTCGGGACCGGGATCGGGCTCTGGGCAGATCTGTCGCCCCTACACAAGACACAACACAAGCTTGGGAACGGGATCTGCTCAATCTTTATCTCCTGAGGGGTCAGCGTCCCTCCAGGGCCCGATCTCGGGCAATAACAGCCTCTTCAAACTTGATCATCAGTGTGGTCCCCTTATGCCAGTGCGCCGTAACCTTGGCAGGGAAGCCGCTGTGGGTGAGTACAGCCTCCACGATGCCCGCTGTGAAGCTGGCACAGTTCAGTGTGCTGTTCTCCTTGGGCACAGAGATGTAGGTGTTAATGAGAGGCTCCCTCTCAATGATGTAGAAAGTGCGGGCGTCATCATTGGCCTGCTCCAGCTTGTCCGCCTCCTTGCCGAACAGTGCCTTCCACACCGCACCCTTGACGAACAGCAGTGCACCCAGCACCTTGGTCTCACGCCGGGCACCCTTCTCACGGGCCACCAGGGCATCTAGGACTCGGGCGCCCACCTGGCGGCCCAGGGCAGCCAAGCGTGCCTGAAGCTCAGCCACAGAGAAAACGCGGCTCTGACAGTGCTGCACCAGCTCGGAGAAGAGGAGGGCAAAGGCGCTCAGGCTCACCTCGGTGCGGGGCCTCACCAGTGCGCGCTCTAGCAGCGCCGACTTCCCGCGTGTGAAACGCGCCTCCATGACGCAGTCCTGCAGGGAGACCAAAAGTCAGGGCGATGGGTGGAGGAGGCCTGGCACCAAGGGCCAGAAGGAGAACCAGGATACCCATACAACCCATCTGTACCAGCGCTGACCCCAATAGTGCCAAACAGATGAGAAGGGAAGCGGACATTAAATTACTGGTAAAACATACCCCATAAAGTTTAGCAAAGCAAAGCACAAATACTAGAGCGAGAGCTTTATAATCTTGCCTGCCGACGGAAAAATGAAGAGAGATGGGGACTAGAGAAAGGGCTCCACACTTCAAAGCTTGTACTACTGTTCTTGCTAAGCATGTGAAGTCAGTTCCCAGCACCCACTTCGAGAGACTCACAACCACCTGTAAATCCAGCTCCAGGAAGAATCAATGCCTCTGGCCTCTGCACGGCACTCACATGCACAAACCCATACTCCGACACACATGCATGTAAATAATTAAAAATGAAAATTAAAAAAAAAATCTTTCAAGGGAAGTAACAGGGAGCAATAGAGCCCCAAGGTAGAAGATCCAAGAGATTTCCTAGTCAAGCAAAGCACTTGGGGATACAGCTCAGCCGGCTCAGTGCTCACCTAGCATACATGAAATCCCAGGTCTGATTCCCTGAACTGCATAAAGCCAGGTACAGCGGCACGCTTCTGTAATCCCTGAACTCAGGAGGTGGAGGCAGAGGCAGGAGGATCAGTAGTCTAAGGTCATCCTCTGTTACATATAGAGTTTGAGACCAACCTAGGGTACACGAGACCTTGTCTCTACAAGAAGGGAAAGGAGGAGGAGGAGGAAGAGGAGGAGGAGGAGGAGGAGGAGGAGGAGGAGGAGGAGGAGGAGGAAGAGGAGAAGGAAGAGGAGGAGGAAGAGCTGGAGAGAGGGTTAAGTAGTTAAGATCATTTTTTGCTCTTACAGAGAGACTGAACTTGAACTTCAGCACCTACATAGTAATTCACAACGACCTGTAACTAGATCTAGTAGCTCTTCTGACCACTGAGGGCACCAGGCACACACATGGTGCACATACATATATGTAAGCAGAACACCTAGACACATAAAGTAAAGCTCAAACAAATAAGAAGTCTTCCCAAAGAACTAATCAGTGGGGCTGGCAAGATGGCTCAGAAGGTAAAGACACTTACCTGATAACCCCAGTTTAATCCTAGAACCCTCAGAGTAGGAGAGAACTCACTCTCAAAAGTTGCCCTCTTATCTCCATGCACACTGACCAATACACACATGTGCACACAAGCATGCAATAAATAAATAAATAAATAAATGTAATTTTTAAGAAGCTGGCACATGGCCGGGGCAATGGTGGTGCACGCCTTTAATCCCAGCACTTGGGAGGCAGAGGCAGGCAGATTTCTGAGTTCGAGGCCAGCCTGGTCTACAGAGTGAGTTCCAGGACAGCCAGGGCTATACAGAGAAACCCTGTCTCGGAAAAAAAAAAAAAAGAAGAAGCTGGCACATGGCAGGGGAAGGGTTAAAACTTAAGGTGTCAGGCATGGTGTATGCCTTTAATCTCAGCACTCAGAAAACAGAGGCATCTCTGTGAGTCTGAGGACAGCCAGGGCTGTTACAAAGAGAAACTGCTCATAAATAAATAAATAAATAAATAAATAAATAAATAAATAAATAAATGTGGAGAGAATACAGAGAGTCCACGAAACTGTGGAGGTGCGCACCTGTAGCCCCAGCACTCCAGAGGCTGAGGCAGTAAGATGACAGAAAGTGCCCGGCCCGGGTGAGTTCCAGGACTGCCTAAACCACAGTGGGACCCCGTATGATGGCTCGTCTTCACTACCTAGAGTTAGAATCACCATGAAAACACGTCTCTGGATTTCCAGAGAGGGAAGCCCCATTCTCAATATGGGCATCGCCACCCTAAGGCTGAATAAAAAGAATGAAGTGATCTGAGCGCCAGCATTTGACTGTGGATGCAGTGCCAGCTGCCACCATTTGTCAATGGACAAATAAACAGACCTTTCCTTCTTTTAGTTGCTTTTGTCAGGTATATATGACCACAGCAACAAGGAGAAAAGCACTAATACACCTTGTCTTTAAAGCGGAGGCGCACGGGGGATGGGGGTGGTGAATGGAGAGGGGACAGAGGACAGTCAATGATGTTTTTTCTAGTTGGCATGTGCTCCGGCCCTGACTATCCTAAAGACACTTCCTACCCAACCCCTCCAGGAAAGCCAGAATAGTGTATGACAGTAAGGGACAGGGGTGAGTAAAAGTCACACCAGGAGGGGGTGCAGAAAACCCCCAAGCCTATAACCTGAGGGTGGAGAGCGGCGGAAGTGTCTATTTGTCACGAAGGAAGCCGTTTCCACGGTGACCCTTAACTCTAAAAGAGATCCCGTTAGGAACTCACACTCCACAAACTCTCTAGAAAACTGCAGGGATGGTGGGGAAACCATGAATGAGACAGGAGGAAGCGCTGGGAGGCTCTGGGCCTCCCGTGCCGGCAGCAGGGAGCCACAATTGTGAACGGAGACCAAAATGGAATCCGGAGACTGGGGGCCCATCAGGTCCTCCAGGTGAAGCCTTCATCGTTTCTGGGGGATGGAATGGAGCCGACAGCCCGCCCCTACATGCATGCCCCAGGGGCCGGGTCTTGGGGGATTAGGATGGACCGTCCGGCTCCCCAGCCGGGGAAGGAAACCGTGCAGAACGCTCCACTCGGCTGCTCTAGGACGCTCGGCTGGGACCGCGGAACCCGCATCATCCCCAGGAAAACCCAAAGCAGACTGACCCGGGAACGCTGCTCGGGACGCACAGAAAAAAGACGAGGCCCGTGCGCGCCGGAGTAAGTTCTCGGGCGGGGAAAAGGACTCAACCGGAACTGTGCTGCTGTAGGTTCAGCGGAACTTCGTGATGGCGTCGTAAAAGGCCTGTGAGTGCGCAGGCGTGTGTGGGCTAGCCTGTGTGTGCACGGAGGGCGGGGCGATGCGGTGACCGAGAGCGGCCGCCAGGGGGCGCCCGTGTCCCAGCCCAGCGGCCCAGAGCTCTAGTCTGCACTGGTCTTGCTTTGAGAGCTGGCTTTTGAGCAAGAAGGTAGTATGCAAAGTATTCCGTCCCAGGAGCACGTGCGTGCCCTCGGGCACCTGGTGTCTTATGTATGTACGTACGCGAGCTGTGGATGTGATGTCTTTTCACGCAACTTACCCTGACACGTGATTTCACCTGTGGGTGAAGGAGAACACTTGACCTTGGGAGTGTTTTTCCATCTTTCACAGAAGGTGTAGCTGCATCTGACCATCCTTTTATTTCCTTTGTGTGTCAGTGTGTCCCATGTGCCCAACACTGTGCAGAGGCGAGAGGTTGACACTGAGTGGCTATCTCTATTGCTCTGGAGCTTATTTTAAGACAGAATCTAATTACTGAACCTGGGGTAACCATTTCTGCTAACTGGCAAGCGTCTCAGAAAATCCTTCTGTCTGCCCCACAAGCACTTCACTGGCAGTTCTGGGGTTACAGGTGTGCACCAACACACCCAGGTTTGGGGGGTGTTTTGTTTTGTTTTGTTTTAATGTAGGTACTCAGGATCAAACTCGGGTCTTCACGATTGTACTTTATCTACTAAGACACCTCCCCAGCCCCTTAAATTTTTTTGTGCTATTGATTGGTGGTTGTTTGAAACATTCTTGCTATGTAGCCCAAGATGTCCACAAAACTAAGGTGACATCTGTGCCCAGAGCTGCCTGTGTTTAGCTGATCTTGATAAGAGGAAATACAAGAGGCTGAAAGAATATAGGCCATTTTCTCCTGGTGTCTATTCATATCTCCAACCTGCATAAGTCAGCTGCACGTATAATTATCTTTTACAGTGCTGGAGATGAAAACCCAGGGCCTCACACTGGCTAGACCAGTGCTTTACAGATGAACCATGCCACTGCCCCACATGCTTAATATAAAAATTCCTAGCATTGACAGAGACAGACGCAGATACTTACACCCAACCATTGGACAGAAGCCGGGGACCCCTATGGTTGAATTAGGGGAAGGATTGAAGAAGCTGAAGGGGAGGGCGACCCCATAGGAAGACCAACAGTCTCAACTTACCCAGACCCCTGGGAGATTCTAGAGACTGAGCCACCAACCAGGCAGCATGCTTGGGCTGGTTCAAGGCCCCTTGGCACATATGTAGCAGAGGACTGTCTAGTCTAGCCCCAGTGGGAGAGGATGCACCTGATCCTGAGGGACCTGGAGCCCCAGGGAAGGGAAATGCCTGGTGGGGTAGGAGGAACACCTTCTAGGAGGCAAGTGGGAGGAGGGATGGGATGAGGAATTGTAGCAGGGGAGACTGGGATGTAAATAAATAAAATATTTTTTTAATCCTACCATTTAAAAAGGTATAAAACAGTAAGCTAAATTGATTATTTTGTTTTTCTGTGCTAGGGATGGAACTCAGAGCCGTACATGTATTGAGCAAGTGTTGTATTGTTGAGCCACATCTCAGCCTCAGCTCATTTTAAAACGATTTGTGTATGTGTGTATGTGTGTATGAGTGCAGATAATACTAGCATTCCTTCTGGGCTCTGGCCCACGGTTACCTGGCAACAGCCAGGTAGGCCTGGCTTACTCTAAAAGGAGCTATTTGCCCACCCCCACCCCCTCACTCTCTTACTCTCTCTGACTCTCTTCTCTCCCTGACCCCTTTCTCCCTCTCTCTCCATCCCATCCCCCCTCTCTCTTCACACATTCCTCTCTCTCTCTCTCTCTCTCCCTCCCTCCCTCCCTCCCTCTCCCTCTCTCTCTCTCCTCCCTTCCCAACTCCTCTTCCCATGCCCTAAATAAACTCTATTCTGTACTACCTTAGGGGGAAGGGTGCCTCAGGATGAGCCCGCTGAGGCACCCTCCCCTCCCACCTGGTACAATGATACCCGACTCTATCAAACACATCCTTGGCTCTTTTTTTTTTTTTTTTTTAACATAACAGATACACTCAAAATGTGCATGTAGCCAGGCACAGGGACACATCCCTTAAATAAATACCACTATTTTATACTCATAGACTGGAACCTAGCATAATCATCATGAGAGGGGCTTCATCCAGCAACTACTACTGGGAGCAGATGTAGAGCACACCGCCAAACATGAGGCGGAGCTCAGGGAGCTCCGTGAAAGGGGAGGAGCCAGAGGGGTCGAGGACAACACAAGGAAACAGCGCACAGAAACAACTAAGCAGGGATCACAGGGGCTCACAGAGATTGACTTGACAGTCAGAGAGCCCGTGTGGGTCAGACAAAGGTCCTCTGACTCTGCGTTTTGTTTTGTAGCTTGGTCTTCATGTGGGATTCCTAACAGGGGGAGCAGGGGCTGTCTTTTGCGTGTGTTCGGGACTCTTTTCCTCCTGTTGAGCTGCTTTGTCCGGCGTAGATATGAAAAGACGTACCTAGTCTTCTAATTCCAGCTTCATTGGTTGATATCCCTGGGAGGTCTGCCCTGTTCTGAAGGAGTGGATCGGGAGAAGGAGGGAAGGTGGGAGGGAGGGACTGGGAGGAGAGGAGGGAGGTGGGACCGCTGTCGGGTTGTGATAGCTGAGAGAAGAATTAAAAGAACTATAAGAAGAAATGTAAACAACATGGGGCTCTCTAGCTAAAGAACTCAAAATTTTAAAAACAAACGAATAAAGACCAACATTCAGTAGGCAGAGGCAGGCTGCTCTCTATGAGTTTGAGGACAGCCTAGTCTCCACTGGGAGTTCCACACCTGCCATGGCTACATAATGAGACCCTCTCTCAAAAGAAAAGGAGAAGAAAGAGGAGGAGGAGGCCATATGCCTGTGGAGGCCAGGGGACAACCTTGAGTGTTTACACCAGGCTGATCTCAAACTCAGACCCTGTCTGCCTCTGCCTCCTGAGGGCTGGGATTAAAGGCATGTGCCACCACACCTGGCATTGGCTTCATTTTTGAAATATGATCTCTTTCTGGGACTTGGAGTTCCCTAATTCAGCCATGATGGCAGACCATGAGCCTCAGAAATTCCCCTGTCTTTGTCTCCTCAGCTCTGGGATTACAGTTATGCACCTGTGTATCTGGTCTTACACGTGGGTTTTGGGATTTGAAGTAAGGCCCTTATCCTTGTGCAGCGGGAACTTTACAGAAAAAGATATCCCCTAGCCCAAAATACTATTTTTTAAATGCTTTAGTACATTTTGGTGCTGGAGAGATGGTTCAGTAGTTACAATCACTTGTTACTCTTAGAAAGGACCAAGGTTCGATTCTCAGCACCCATATGATGGTTCACAACCAGTCCAAGGATTCAATGCTCTTTTCTGACCTCCACCAGCATGAGGCATACATGTGGTACATATACATATATGCAGACATACGTACAGTCAAAACACCTGTAGAATAAAATGAATACATCTATTTTAAAATCTTTAATAAGTTTATTACATTTTTATTTATTTTGTGTATGTGTGTGTGTGCGTGTGCGCACACACTATGGTGTGAGTAGAGGTCAGAGGACAGCTTTTGGCAATCGGTTCTCTCACTATTTGAGTCCTGGGGATAAAACTCAGGCCACCAGCCTTAGTAGCAAGCACCTTTATCCACAGAACCATCTTACTAGACCCAAAATACTATTTTTCAGTTAGTATAATACCTTCCACATTGTCCTGGTGGGTTTTATCAACTTGACACAAACCTAGACATACTTGGGAAGAGAAAGCTACATTGAGGAAATGCCTCCATCGGATTGCCTACACGGGAGGGAGGGCCCAGTGCACTAGCAGGTGGTCCTGGGTTGTATAAGAAACTGAGGTAAGTAAGCCGAGAGGAGCAGGCCAGTAAGTAGTGATGCCCCGTGCCTTCTGCTTCAGCTCCTGCCTCAGGTTCCTCCCCTGACTTCCTCAGATGAGAAGCTGTGATATGAACACGTAAGCCAAGCAGACCCTTTCCTCCTGGGTTGTTTTTGGTCATGGTATTTTATCACAGCAGTAGTGACCTAAGTAAGACACAAACTATTATAATTTCATTACATAGATGCTATTTTAAGGAAGCCAGGCATGACAGTCTACAGCTGCAATCAATCCCTGCCGCTCGGAAGGCTGGAGCAGAACGATTGACTCAGTTCAGAAATTAGAGTCCAGCCTAAGCAATAGTACCAAGATTCTGCCTGTAGATAAATAAATGTTGATAACGGATACTGGTTTTCTTTATTTTCCTTCCCCTCTTTTCTCTTTTCTTGTGGCTATGCTTCTTGTCTTTGCTGTTGCCACTTCTTCCTAGTGTTCAGAAAACCAAGTGTGTGTTTTCAAAATAGATACAGCTCAGCTCATACTGCCTGAACGTGAAGAACATAAACTCTGCTACTGGACGGGATAAGTGGCGAATGTTATCT